AAAACAAATATTTTACACAGTTAATAGACCATATTTTCATATTGTGTGTCATGGTCTCAAATATATATGCCAAAAATTTCATACTATAATAATTTGTAGAAAAGATATTAAAATTTAAGTAGTAACATGTATTTTCAACTATCCTATCACGATTGGATGGTTGGGAGCATATGTGCTAAATTACTATTCATCTTAAGTCAAGACTAATTATTAGCTTTATATATAATAAAAAAGCTTATATAATGCGACAACCTCACTTGTAAAAATAAGGTTACAACAATCTACTACATTCATTTTAGTAAAATAGTATAGATTTGACACTATCTTAAAAAACATGCTAAATTTTTTATAGTTTTGAAAAGTATTTTAGATGTACAGCCTACCTAAAACAATGATGCAAAACACCACAATTTAACTTATGTAAATAAGGTCGCCACCTTATATAAATTACACCTGCAAATGGACTCTAAATAATTTTATTCCCGTGAATTTCTAAAATAATTTTATTATCTATATTCTTTCTTCAACCATAAGTTATAAGAGAGAGGGACTTTGTTTTTCTCTTCACATTAAGGAGAGAATAAATGATTTTCAGTCTTCTCTCCTCAACAATTAGTCCTTTTCTATGGTAGTTCCAACTCGTGATCCTTTGGGTCAGGGCTTGAGAGCCACAAGGCAACCTCCATAGCTTAAATCCCAGCTACTCAATCTAAAAAAAAGTCAATCAAATAAAATAAAGTAAAAGAAAACAAATAAGACAAATAAAAGGTGTTTTTTTATTAAAGAATATAAAAACAGGAGTTGAAACTTCTTAAATATATTAAAGAAATCAAAAGATTAAAAATTACACTTGAGGGGAATGTCTTTAAATTTTTATATCAATTAAGTATGTCTTAAATGTTGAATTTTTTTCAAAATACTTATGTTGGTTGTTGGAAAGTCAAAATAATTAAGGGTACTATATTAATTTTATTTCTAAAGAAGTTTTAACTACGTGAAGGTTATTTTGGTCAAAAAATAGAAAAGTGAAAAAAAAAAAAGAGACAAAAATTAAGAAAATATGAAGTTTTTTTTTTATATGTTAAAAATTAAAATAAATTTTCGATAATTTTTCAAAATATACAAATATATCATTTTTTTTTAAGACAAAGAGGTCACAATCACTATTGTATTTCCAATTTCAAATTAAGTTGTTGTGAGCATATTATTGACTAGATCCAAGACACTATATAAAATTTCTCGAACTTCATAGCATTTGACATTTGATAGTTTAAAGTACCGCTCACCTCCTTGTACAAAAAATAAATGCTCCCATAACATACAATCTCTTAAATGATAAAAGTACGTATTAGGGGTAAAAGTATCGAATTACCCATAATTATCCTAGCTTTTTAGTGTAATTTATGATATTTTCACCCCTTTCATGATATTGTAGGGGTTCTAACTTCTAACCTTTTTTTTGATATTTTTCTTTTTATTATGACCCTGATTTTTAAATAGCAGAAATGAGGGTGTGGTTTATGAAACCTATACGTGAACATATGCATAAAATTTCCCCTTTATTTGTGAAGAAGTCATAGGTGAAATCGTCTTTGACAAGAAAGATTTGGGCGAAAAGTCCAAACAGAGCACAATGGCGTTAATTGCGAGTAAATGAGGGGCATTTCTGTAACCTCTCACTACACCGGAGTTACGCGTTACGTATACGTGAGGCTCCGCTCCAGCCGTAAATTTCTGAATCTTCTCTCTCTAAATCTCTCTCTCTCTCTCTCTCTCTCTCTAAATTCTGTGTTGTCTCTCTCTCTCTTTGCCTTCTGTTCTTTGGCGGTATATTCCCTGGTGCGATTCTCGTTTCCATTAATAACTGAGAAACCACCCCCCAACTAATCGCATTCCCATCTCTCCCTCTTTGTCTCTTCCTTTTTCATTTGTAGGGCATTTGCTGTGTCTTGGTTTCAGCCATGATCTGAGGTAAGTTTTGTCTCCTTCTCTCTTAGTTCATTTATTCATATTCGTATCGTTTCTTCTCTCTCTTAAGTTTATGCTGTGTATGATCTGTTATGTGCTTCTCTATTAGTGGTTGTTTGGTGCGCTTGACTTGTTTGCTATTTTGGTCCCTCTCTCTCTCTCTCTCTCTCAAAATTCATGGAGTGTTTGATCCATTTTCCCCTGCTCTGGTCATGGTAATTTAGTTTATACATGTTTTTGTGGTCACTTATGGCTTATATGTCTATGGTGAAAAATGGGTTTTTTTGGCTCCGCAAATGCTTGTGGATATGATGTTGGTTTTTGTTGGGGTTTCATATCGCAAGTGATTTCTTTTTCTTTTTCTCTCTCTCTCTGAATGCTTTCTTTTAGTCTCTTCTCGCTTATTGCCCTAACTCTCACTATTTATGTTTAAAATTGGGTTCCTTTTAATTTGAGTTGATACCGGATTTATTTGTTTGGGCAATGTGGTTTGGTTTTGAATTTCTGGATTTTTTTTCTTTTTTTTTTTCCTTCAAATTTCCAAAATAATGAATTTGGTTTTCTTTAGGTGGGTTATGAATACTGTTTGGTTCTTTGATATGAACTGAACTTGGTCAGAAAAATCACATCTTTGAGTCAAACTATTCGAACAATGTCAACTGATATAACTTTTCCATGGGGAATCTTATGTGCCGGTCATGAGGGAAACTGCGTGTTTTAGGGTTCCTACTTCCTACTCTTATAAATCAGTTAGCCTTTGGTTGTGAATTTCATATTCTGGGTTGAGTAATTTGAGCTTTATAAGATATCAGTATTTAGTAATTGTATATTTTGAACACAATCTGCCATTCCAGTGCTTTCCCATTTCATTATGCCTGAGAGAGATACTTTATCGTTATCTTCCTGTTTTGCTTATAAAAACTTAATTTCTCTAACTTAATGGTATTGTGCCTGGTAACATGCATTTGAGTTTGTTTCTCAGACAGTAGTTTAAAACTATTGCAGGCGCAAGTGCAACTTTTATTTGAGATAATTTTGAAAGATTTCCTCTATTGTGAAGGATACTACGAGTTAACTAGAATGAAGTTATTGATTGGGAACAAAGGGGTTTGTGAATGGCTCCTTGTTTTGCTTTGCTTCAACAGGAATGATGCAGATAATGATGCAATCATGGCTTTCTAGTATCTTGATCCCCCAATGGCCCAGTCTAAATGGAAACATGACCTTATGAACATGCGAATCTAACATTTAGTCATGGCAAGTCCTTGAAGAGCTAGAGCGCGTTTTTGCATTATTATGTAGTGCAAATTAGATTGTCTAGCTCTTGATATTGATCTGGTGGAGAAGTAGGCAAAGATTCAAAATGGAGGTTTCAGCTGTCCACTCTGGTTCCCAAAAGCAGTTGTTGTGCCGTAAATTACCTTCATTCCATACCCGGAGTGATATATGGTCTGTTGCTCGAGAAGGTTCCATATCTGATTTGGATAATGCTTTGATAGCATTGAAGAAGAATGGTGGAAATATTGATGCAAGAAATTCATGTGGCCTTACTCCTCTTCATATTGCAACATGGAGAAACCATTTGCCAATTGTGAGGAGATTACTTGCTGCTGGTGCTGATCCTGATGCCAGGGTGAGATATAGATGTGCTTGGGCTTGTTCTTGGTCTTTTCTTACCTCTACTGCTTGAAAGAAAAAAAAGAACTTTTCGATATGGTGATATATGAGGGCCTATTGAGTTGTATCGTAAAAGAAAAGAGAGTCCATGATTTTCATGTTTTAGAATTGTGAAGTGTGTACACTATTTGTGTATTATCTGCCAGGAGAAGTTGGGCCTATTGAGTTGTATTATAAAAGAAAAGAGAGACCATGGATTTTCATGTTTTAGAATAGTGAAGTGTTTACACTATTTGTGTATTATCTGTTATGAGAAGTTGGTTGCTTAATTATGATTGATGTTGAAATCATACCTACTACAAATATTGTGGAATTAAATTTGTAAAGAATTGAGAAAATGACGATGATAGTTAAATGTAAAAGATGATAGATCAAATGTGAGGTTCTATTGGGGCGAACGGAGGTTACATGTCATAGGATAGTTTAAATAAGGGAAAATATCTATGTACACTCTATTTTGAAGTTCCATTTCCTAACAGACCTAGGGTTTGATAACATTTATGGCGGCATAGAGATCACACATAGTATATTTTCTAACCCCCTGGATCAACTTTACCCATTTTGACCACCTTTTTTTAGCCCAAGCAAAGTTAGATAGACACCCTTGTCTATTCCTGTTGATTCTCCTCTCTCTATCTTATTATAAATGGGAGATGGGCAAGAGAAAGAGAGAGGTTTGGGGGAGAAACACAAGGGAGAGAGAGAGAGGTTTAGAAAGAAATAGGCACGGGTGTCTTTCTTACCTTTGTTTGGGCTAAAAAGGGGCGGTCAAAAGGGGTAAAGCTTGTCCAGGGGATTAAAAGATATACTATGTAGGATTTCTACACCGCCACAAATGTTTTCAAATCCTGGGACTATTGGGAAATGGAACTTCAAAAATAGGGTGTAAGAAAATATTTTCCCAAATAGGGTGTACGAAAATATTTTCCATACTGGCCAGGCCTGACTGGTTTAGAAATTCTAAAAAATATTGAAATATAAATAATTGGTCAAAACCTGTAATCCTGCATGAACTGGTTCAACTGGTTTAACCAGCCGTTTCAGGCCAGTTTTGACATATTAATGTGTTTTTTTCTAATACTGATTTTGACCAATTATTGATTCAATGATCAGATTGGACCAATTCCAATTCCAACCAATCGGATTGGCTGGTCTAGTCTGGTTTTAATAACATCGAGAAAAGTTCATGTTACTATGTTTCTGATTATTTAGTTGTTCAATACCAGGATGGAGAATCAGGATGGAGCAGCTTGCACCGAGCTCTCCATTTTGGACATCTTGCTGTTGCAGGATTTCTTATTGAGTCTGGTGCATCTCTTACATTAGAGGATTCTAAGTATCGTGTTCCTATTGATCTTCTTTCTGGACCTGTGAAGCAGGCCATTGGCAATGGAGATAATTCAGGTGAATGTTTCTTTAAGATTTGTTTAGATCAGAGAGATTGTGTGATTTCACCTTGGTTTCTAAACTGATACTGCCAATGAAATGGTTTGGTGGGAGATTTGATGACCTTTTTTTTAAAATGGTCATGATTTTTTTTAAAATTTGACATATTATGCCATAAATAGGATGCTATTATTGTCTTTAAAAATTTCAAACCGATTATCTTCAAAATTGATCATGGATTATTGTCTTTAATAGAAAGGGATAGTATATCACATACAGCATGTGTATTTGATATGGTATATAGCAAGGGCATCCATTCGCTATTCATTCTCAGTGATGGTCTTACCATTCTTCTGATTTTGACTATGTGGAAAGATTTTCCCCATCTTTTGTCATAAACTCTACCTCTCTCCCCATCTTTCAGTGGCAACTGAAGTTTTTAGTTGGGGGAACGGTGCCAATTACCAGCTTGGAACTGGAAATGCCCACATACAAAAGCTGCCATGCAAGGTTGATACGCTTCATGGCTCTTGTATCAAAATCGTGGGTGCTGCAAAGTTTCACAGTTTATCTGTAGCTGCTAATGGTGATCTGTATACTTGGGGATTTGGGAGAGGGGGCCGTCTTGGTCATCCTGACTTTGATATCCACAGGTAAAATGGCTTGGCACCTCTTTTTGGAACTTGTGATTGATAAGATTACCTTTGCTCTTTCTTGAATATGGTCACGTACATTGTACATTGAGACATTGCTGATGATTGCTTCTTCTAATATGTTCGCTTATCTCTGTTATCCTTTGTGCTGTATACCTCTTTTACATGGCGACATTTCTGTGTCATGTTCCCTCTATTTTTTCATTACAATATCATTGAACTTATATGTGTGTTTTTCTTGTCTTATTTATTAGTGTTAAGTTGCTAACTTTGTGACTCCTCAGTGGTCAAGCGGCAGTGATTACACCTCGTCAAGTGATTAGTATATTGGGTTCTCGCCAGATTAAAGCTGTAGCAGCAGCAAAACACCATACTGTGATTGCAACAGAGGGAGGTGAAGTATTTACATGGGGGTCCAATAGAGGTAATTGCTGGGTTTTCCCATGCTTTCATCCTTTAAAAGCTGGAAAAGTATACTGTGATCTAATGGACTATGGAAGACCATTGACCACTGTTGTCATCACTATCCAAGGAAATGGAGTGTAATAGAGGGGAGGGCCCACTATTGGAGTCCCAGTTCTAATGGGTCCTACTTTATCGCAGTCCATCATTTCAGTGAATGGTGATGACCCAAAATCATATGGGTATATACCAATCTCAATTGGCTTACATCTTTCACCTACAAGTATACTTGCCCGAGAGTGTCTTCAGTTATTATTTTGGTGTTTTTATGCAGAGGGTCAGCTTGGTTACACCTCAGTGGATACTCAACCAACACCACGTCGTGTAAGTTCCCTCAAGGCAAAGGTAATTGCTGTTGCTGCTGCAAACAAGCATACAGCAGTGGTGTCTGAATCAGGGGAAGTGTTCACTTGGGGTTGTAACAAGGAAGGTCAACTTGGATATGGTACCTCAAATTCGGGTTCAAACTACAATCCCCGTGTTGTTGAATATTTGAAAGGGAAAGTTTTCAAAGCTGTTTCGGCAGCGAAGTATCATACCATTGTCTTAGGATCAGATGGTGAGGTAAGATAAAACTGTATTGCTTTGTTTATCAGTCTATGGAAATACATACAAACCCACATACATGTCTATTGCATATGAATTGGGAGTTGATTTATGCTGATGCAATCACAGGTATTTACATGGGGTCATAAGCTAGTCACACCTAGACGTGTGATGATTTCTAGAAATACAAAGAAAAGGGGGACCGTACCATTGAAGTTCCATCGCAAGGAACGTCTCCATGTGGTTGCTGTGGCTGCTGGCTCAATTCATAGTACAGCACTCACAGAGGATGGAGCTGTGTTTTTCTGGGTCTGCTCTGATCCTGATATTAGATGCCAACAAGTAAGGAATAAATATAACAATAATGTCATGTTAATTTCCTCAGAAAAGATATTATATAACAATAGTATCTATATCAATCTATCTATCCATCCATCTCTCTCTCTCACACACACGCATGCATGCACATCGCGAGAGAGAGAGAGAGAGAGAGAGAGAGAGAGAGAGCAATATTTCATGAATCCACGGATCAAACACCTAGTTGGGGGAATTAGTGGACCCGAAAACCATCAAATCATATTTATCTCACTCTAAGATCTGGGTTTTCCCAAGAGAAAAAATTATATGGAGGTGTAGAAATGCCTCAAATCAGAATCCCTTCCAAAACTGATTTTCGACCTTCCATTTTGATGGACGCCAGACCTGGAAGTTGTGAGCTCAAAATCATTACTTGTTTTGAAATCGATTTCTAGATGAGTCAGATGATTTTTGAGAAAGAAATCACCCTAACTAGGTGTTGGGGCTGTGGTTGAAAGTGTATAATTTGTACCTGTGGGTAAAGATGTACAGTGTGGTCCTGTGGCCCACTAATTTACACGTGCATATCCATGTATACATATCCATATACATACATATATTATCGATATTGAAAAATATATGAAATTTTTGTATATGTGTGGAAGGAGTGTACATATCCATATACATACAATATTATTTGGTTTAATATTGCGTGCAGCTTTATTCGATGTGTGGAAGGAGTGTGGTGAGCATATCTGCTGGGAAATTTTGGACTGCTGCAGTGACAACAAGTGGTGATGTTTATGTGTGGGATGGCAAGAAATTCAAGGATGAAGCACCCGTACCATCTCGTTTACATGGTGTCAAGCGTGCCACATCAGTTGCAGTTGGTGAAACGCATTTGCTTGTTACTTGTGCCCTCTATTCTCCTGATTATATTCCTAAACCAGATGAGGATGCCATGCCCGAAAGATTGACAGGGGATGTGGAAGAATTGGATGAAGATTTTGTATTCAGTGAGGACAATTCGATGGGTCAAAAAGAAGTTGGTATGGATAAGAACGGGTTGCTTAGAAGTACACCGACTCTAAAATGCTTGTGTGAGAAAGTTGCGGCAGATTTTCTTCTAGAGCCAAGGAATTCTATACAGCTGCTTGAAATTGCCGATGCCCTTGAGGCAGATAGTCTGAGGAAGCATTGTGAGGTATTTGATGTACTTCATGTTTTCTTCTTGTGTGAAATAATATCGAATATGTGAATCTGTAATTTTAGGAATTCGGTGATCAAGGTCTCTAAATCCAAAATTATGAAATAAGTCTCTGAAATGTTTCATTATCAAAAAAAAGGAAAGTCCTAGAAATTAGTTGTGAAAGAAGTGTTTAAAAACTGCATAAGCTCTGGTACAGATGAATTAGAACTTAATAGTTTTGGGACGTAAAGATGATTGAATAAACTTTGGAGATTAAAAGAGTTGTGATTATGTATACACAGAAAAATAGGTAGCATATTGGCAACTTTTGTCGATCAGTAATCCACAGGGTTAATTGAAATTTAGGGGCCATTTTGCAGTCTAAAGAGTTCCAGAAAACCCACTAGAGACTGTCCCTTGAAAATTCTAAAAGAATAAGTGTAATCATAACAGATCATGTGACAATGAAGGGAGTATTTTGTTATGGGTTTTCAGGCCCAGCATTGGAGACTAGGATACCCTTGAGATTCATTGTATGGTGTAAGGGTATTTTTCTTTTGAAGCTGATGGTGGGTTTAAATTGCAGGATTTAATCCTCCGAAATCTCGACTTCATATTTGCAGTCTCTGCACCTTCCATAGCAAGTGCTTCTCCAGAAATCTTAGCAAAGTTGGAGAAGTCGTTGGACAAGAGGTCCTCTGAACCATGGTGTTATCGCCGGCTCCCAACTCCAACTGCCACTTTCCCTGCTATCATAAACAGTGAGGAGGAGGGCGACTCCAAGACTGGATGCTTCAGACTTCGAAACAGGCAATTGAGTTCCATTAAAAAGGCCTACTGTAGAGATTCTAGGGCTGGAGAAGGCTTTTTGCAACAAAATAGTGCAATTGATCAAGCAATGTCCAAACAAGTGAGGGCTCTAAAGAAGAAGTTACAACAAATAGAGATTCTTGAGGCCAAGCAGTCCAATGGGATTCACCTTGATGAGCAACAGTTAGAAAAGGTGAGAAGCAAATGGGTACTTGCAGATGCCCTTGCTGAGCTAGGGGTTCCTATGGAGATGGAGGAGAAAGCACCCTTGGTTGGTCTAGACAGTGGGAAAGGGGGAAAGAAAGGAGTGGTATCTAAAAAAAATAGAAGGAAAAGCCAGCAGAAAACTGAGGTGTTAATGGAGCCTAATTTGGTTGTTGGATTCCCCGATGCCACAAGTTCTCCAGTTCTCGAAGAGCCTAACTTGATTGTTGGATTCCCTGATTTCAGTAGTCCTGCAATTCTGGAAGAAAAGGTAAGAAGTTGTTTACTTCTCCTTTTCTGTGTTCTCGTTAAGTATGGGTGTTAAGTTTTACTGTATCTATTTGAGGAGGGACCATGATCGATTGTCCCCATATATTGCCTCTTCAGTTTATTAAGTTGCATTCTTGTTTTGACTTTTCAATGGTATTTTCATAGTTTTATTTTATTTATTTATTTATTTTTTCGATGGTTATTTGGGTTTTAATATTATTTATTATTATCTAAATTTGATGTTTTCTGGGATGGAATGGGATGGGATTGTCTGAACATCTAGCAGGTGGGTGCTCCTATGAATGGGTATTTAATCATTTGTGAACATGTGTTCTCGATTCATTTTCACAAGATTGTTTTATTTTGGATTCTCTTAATTGTTTTTTTCCTTTTAATATGACTATTTGGGAAGTTTAGTCAATACCCATGCGAGATGAGCTATTTAACATTCTACCCATATCCTTTGATGTAAGTTCAACATGCCCATCAAAAGAGCATGATCACGCGTTGGAAGAGTTGCAAATGGGTAAAATGCTGAATTTTTTCTCTTATGGGCATTTTCATAAATTTCTCTTATTTTGTTAATCTTCTCTTTATGTTGCAATTCTCCATTTTCTACTTCAAAGATTTTATTGTAGATTTTTCAAACATTACTGTCATCCAAATGGCATAAACCATAGTTCTTTTCAAAACAGGAAGATGGAGGCGGTGTAAAGCTGGCTGAGATCAAGGCACCAGATGAGGTGTCTTTTAATGGCCAGAAAAGTAATACACCACCCCAATCGTGTAATCAATCTTCAAATCCCACCCCACTTCCCAAGAAGAAGAAGAAGAAAGGTGGTCTCTCTGTGTTTTTGAGCGGTGCTCTTGATGACATCCCAAAAGAAGAACCCTCACCCCCACCTCGCAAAAGTGAGGGGCCTGCATGGGGTGGGGCAAAAATCTCAAAGGGCTTCACTTCTCTTCGTGATATACAGAGTGAGCAAAGCCACCAAACCAAGGAAAGCAAGTCCAATAACAATACCAGGGAGAAAGGCAAGAGTGAGGAAATTGTGGAGGGAGGAAGCGGGAGTCAAATTCGTTTGAGCTCATTTCTTCCAGGGACTGTCTCCTCACCTATACCTGTAGGCTCAGGCAGAGGGGCACAGGCTTCGGTGGAGGGTGAGAAGAGCACCCCGCCTTGGGCAGGGGCAGGGTCCTCACCCGGCCTTTCTAGGCCCTCTTTGAGGGATATACAGATGCAACAGGTATGCCTAAAATTAATCTGCTTCTTTATTTGCCTTCTATGTAGGAGCAAAAGGCACCATGATATGGTGGTGTATGGTATGTGGTACTTAGTGGGAGATCTACCGGATGTTGCCGATGACAGATTGTGGAGATCAATTGTACTTGGGTGAACATTTTTGTGGGCCCTGTTGGTTTATCTTCACTGTATATCATTTGTAATGGACGTGTGATGGCTTCTTCCCTTGGTAGTACTGCATAACATACTCCATTGGATTATGGTATACTTACTCCATTTTGTTTATCCTAGCTGTGGTTGTGTTGCCATACATCAATGCAAGGTCCCAACATTTGCTAGAGAGAACTGCAGTCTTACTATCAGTGACTCAAATTCATTTGAAAGTATAAAATAAACTCTTATAAGCGCACCATGTAATGTATTAGTTGCTCATCTGACATAAACCTATATAACAACAAAAGTGGGCAGACTCAGGCACCCATTATGTTAATAATCCACCCAACACTGTAAGTGGCCAATCAGCTACAAGTGCATATCACTGCCCATGTTTTGGCTGGTAGAATAGAAATTGATGGATGGATAACTAAAGTAGTGGGTTGCCAGATCTGTCCCCTGACAAGAAGTCCTCCAGGAAAACAGCAGATTCTGATGTATTTCTTTTCGCCTTTTGCCTGGCTCGTTCTGGTTATTTTTTTGGGTTATCTTTGGGGAGCCATTTTGTTGCCATATTAATGGTGGAATCTATTTAAAAAATGCAGGAGAAAAAGCACTCGTCTCATAGCCCAAAAACTAGGATCTCCGGATTTCAGGCCAACTCCCCTGATTCCAGCAAAGAGGTCATACCCAACCGCTGGTTCAAGCCGGAGGCCGAAGCCCCTTCCTCCCTTCGATCGATTCAGATTGAAGAGAAAGCTATTAAAGAATTCAAGCGCTACTACAGCAGTGTAAAACTAGTGAAACAAGGGTGAGGATGGGGCTGTAAATTTATACTGTACAGGCTCTCTCTGTTTTTTTTTTAAAAAAGGTCACTTTTCTTCCTTTTTCCCCACTTTTTATCTCTTTGGGAAATAATTGAAATTGCCATTTTTACTTTTGTAATTGTTGGATAGGTGTTAGTTACATGTTTAGGTTTTTCCTTTATTGAAATAAAAGAAAGTTGAAATTACAAAATGGCCCTGGTTCTCTCTCTCTCTCTTTCTCTCACGCACACCACACACACGAAATGATATTCTATGCTTGATACAATGTGTGCTCTCTCTCTCTCTTTCTCTCTCTCCCTCTCCCTCTCCCTCTCCCTCCCACACACACGGACACTTACAAAATGGTGTTATATGCTTGATACCATCTGTGCTTGCACTTTTTATTCCTTTGTACATTTTTCATGCTTCCATAATCAAATAATATTTGCTGTGTTCAATCAGAACACCATGCCTGCAACTACTGGACGTGCATAGATTTAGGCCTTGGGTATAGAGATTGGCCCTGTCTGTGCCCATGAAAATTAGCAATAGAGTTCTTTTGCACAGTTTTAGGAGTGATAGGTCTCCCTTGGTTCACTACCATTTACAGGTTCGACCTAATTTTCATTGTCGAAATGCCCCATAAAAAGGGGAAAAGAACCTTGCTTTTTGTTACATGTTCCGAATACTGAGCAAAGGGAAGTAGGGTTGGGGCCAATTCTTTGATAAGAACCTAACATGTCCAAGTGAGTCTTGGCCTGTGCATTGTTCTGTCCATCAGTTTTGAAGTATCCTTTTTCTTTTCTGGAGACGTTGAATACCTTCACTCCAAACTGTCGTCCGTTAATAACAGAATATGTTAACAAGTTAGTGGATATCTTAGAATATGATTAACAAATTAGCGAGGGATTTAAGAGGAGATTGATTTGATTTTTTTTCTGGCAAACTTCATTATTGGATTTAGATAGAAAAAAGGTTTTCTAAGGAGTAAGTTATTTTAGAAAAAGTTTATGTTAGGGTACTTATATTTAGGGCATGTTTGATAACTAGAAGATATTTACCAAAAGATGGAACTTACTTGTTCTTGTAGTAGTTAAATGTTTGATAAAAACAAGTTTAAAAGGTAACTTACTAGGAACTTACATGTTATCTCTTTTTAGTCTTAAAAAAAGTTCCATATAAAAACATGGAACTTGAAAAGGGAACCTTGCTGAAGGGCAAAAGTAAGTTACCCACCCCTGACTGCCCTCACGAAGAAGACGGTATTTGCTTGCCCCTGACTGCCCTAACAGTAAATTACCCACCCCTGACTGCCCTCGTGAAGAAGAGGGCATATTCTTGCCCCCGACTGCTCTAACCACAGAGCAGAGACATCTCGTGCCTACGAGCTTCTTCACAAAGGTACATTTCAGTTATTTCTCTTTGGTTTTTCTTTCTCCCTTGATTTTTTTCTCTCTGGTTTTTTTTATCCCATGGTTTTTTTTGCTCTCTTTGATTTTCTCTCTAGGTTCCGAATATGCTGAAAATGGATCTAGGGTTTTCTATGAATATTGTTTTGTGGTAAATTACTCTCTGTAGGGAAAAAATAAATTGGTTGTTTTTTTGGTAAATATTTCTCAGTAGAAACCTTGCCCCTCATCCCTCCTTTCAAGCCTTCCTCTCTCCACTCCAGCTAAATTTCACAGTTCTTTCATTTTCCAATTCTTATTTTCATCTGGTTTCTTCTACTACGCAGGTGACAACCATAACCATTTGGTGTCCCGTTTTTCTTTTGTTATTTTTTGTGACTGCTATCATCTGAAAATGAGATAATCAATGAGATTGCTTAAATTTGATTCATGGTGAGCTTATTTTTTTTTTCATTGATAGTTTTTTTGTTGGTTGTGAAGAAAAGAAAGAATAAAAATTGCAGTATTGCTTTTTTTTTTGCCATAGGTTTAGATTAAGCTTACTATTTATTTTTCAATATCAAGCATAGGATTTTATCTTACCATTGAGAATGTAGTTATAGAATCAGTGAACAAAAAAAAAGAAAAACAACTTGTTATGGATTGACTGGCAAAATAGAACAAATCATTGCTATGAAGTTTTATTGAGAGAAAATTGATTATCTTTGATGATGGAGGTGAATTTTAGTTATGATTGTGATTGGGGTAATTGTGAAATATTTAAAGGCTTATTGCTTCTAAACTTCGTATGACTCTTTTCATATGACTGAACTATCCAAAAAAGAATGTCAATGTTCCTCACCATTATAATGTCAATGCTGCTCACTATTATACAGTTTATAGTATATTATCAGTTGAAAACTGGCCCGTCATATTGTATTGGACTTATTTTCCTCACGAATAAATATAGCAATAGTAACGTAGCTTTAGATGTTTGATGCTCTTTTTTGGTCTTTTCTAATGATGTTTGATAAACACATAATAATAATAATAATATGGTTATTCTGTCTATGTGTGTAGACTACAGAGTAAGGCCTGTTATGTAACTGATTAAAGAGTATTTTGTCTGTGTGTAGACTACATCGTTATTTTGTTTGTGTGTGTAGACTACACTGTATCGCCTGTTATGTAACTTATAACTTTCTTATATTCGAGCAGATTATCAAAGATAGAGACTCATAACTTCTTTTGTTCCAACAGGTTATCAAACACAGAAGCCCAAAACTTTTTTAACATTCCAGCAGGTTATCAAATACAGAAATCCATAACTTTTGACAGTAACTTCTTCTTCTCAGTAAAGAAGAACTTCCAATTTTCAAAAAACATTTACCTTCCAGTTATCAAATACGTCATTAATGTACTCAATATTTTTGGACATTCAATACTTTTACTCCATGATTATATTTTTACTTTATGACCATATAGTAATCTTTTTATCTAGGGGTTTGTTAGGTCATTAAATAGGGATAAAATTAAAATTCTATAGAGAGAGAAGCATTTATTACTTATAGTAGAGGACAACATCATTGTGGCATCAGGAATGATTGTTTTTTCATCACTAATAAATGATTGTTTTTTAATCACTATTTTTTTATAGGAATATCTAGCATATCCTTACTAATTACGAAAAGTGCCTTTATTAAAAAAAAATTTGTATTACAAAACAAGAGTACATGAATGTCAAAAAATATTGAGCAGAAATACTCGTATGTATGAGTACCCCCTAACATAATAATCTTTTAGAAAATCATAAGGAAAATGAATTGTGAAGAATTTGATGGCGACAATTCTACTTAAAAGTACATCCTCTTTTTATGGGGTGCAAAGGTGAGTTATTGGAGATTTATATAGAATCACATGTTAGCTGAAGACTTATTGACAACTTCTGTTGGGGCTCTGCTTAGTATTCCAAGCAAAAATAGATACTTTGGAGGATTTTTATCGAAATTTGGAGTTCCGCTTTCCACTCATCTAGTAATAAGAAAATTTTGGATTTTTAGCTCCTAGGCACTTATATGACTGCCCAAAAAATGTACCATGTTTCAATTTTAGGACATTAGTTTCTTCATATGCGTATGGGTGATTTATTATTTACGTAGTGAAGCTGACAAGGTTACATCCCAAAGGTCGCAAAAATGTAATTTTACCTGAGGGTATAAATGGATGACTGATGTCGCCATCCTTAGGATTATGGTGAGGTCTCATTGCATACGCTCTTTCATGCTTGTGGGCGTTTTTTTTTTTAGGGAGAAGTTTATGTAAGTGTGAGGCTCTAAACAATCAAATTAATGTGTACCTGAAAAATTCAATAGAAGAGGTGGATTCGATGTCCAAAATTTCTCAAATCTTTAAGATGTATGGGTATGAGAAAAAATGGATTTCAAGTTTTGAAAATAGTGCTCTTGTAATGCCTACTTGATCTGTACTATTTTTTAATCTTTAAATTTTATAATTAGAGATGAAAATAAATTTTTAGACCATCACAAAGATTTTCAGTACGGAAACATCTTTCAATACTATTTAAAGGTGCGCCTTACTTTGATTGTTTAAAGCCTCAGCCTTATAGAATTAAAGAACACAACAAGTGATTTATAATTTTGTTTTTTTAAGGTGGATTGCTGTTTTGTACTTTTAAGCTTTTGGAATCTTAAAAATATTCCCGACTTGGCATTTACCAGAGGGAGCAAATAGACCGTATGCTCCTATGGGACCATCATATCTTTTAGCCGTAGTATTATGCCAAGTGTTGAATACTAAAGTGAAAAGCACGGGTTGAAAGTGTATACTCATGGCATGAGGAGAAGCGTGTTGGACTTACGGAAGGTAGTTGGACTCCAAATTTTGCATCTGCAATAGAAAAAGAATGAATTTGTAGAAGTAAAAGAAAGAAAAAATGAGTTCGTTGTTTTTAGTAACTTCTATTTGATGGATGGTGGATTTTTCCGTTAAAAAACGGTCGTGGTGGTAGCACCCCACTTCTAGGCACTACGTTGTAGTTTTCATTCCCACCATTAATATGACCCCACTAATAGTTTCAAATTTATGTTTTTTAAATTATTTGTTATGTGAATCAAAGATGCGTAGAATTAGCTAAAAGAAATCTAAGATGCGTGGCATTTTAGCTAAAAGAAATCAAAGATGCGTGGAATTTTAACTTCTAATCTATTGATCTGAAACACGACTTGGCCAAGGGGACTTGTTTCGGTGTGTCCGAGTAACTCGCTCGAGTTCAATCTTTTTTTTTTGTAAAAAAAGAAAAGTAAAATACAAATAGTATAACTTGTCTTTTTTTAACGTTTATATGACGTGGAGTATGCATGAGCACCATCCAAATAGCCATTCATGCTACTTTTGATTTGAAATTGACGTAGTACTTTATATAAACTATAAAAATTTAGGGTACACTTTATTATTCGGCGGAAACTTACTTTGCCCTTAGGGCGAAGCCGAGTTACTCATTCGATTTCGAGTGGCCCTGGCCAATGCTCAAAACAGAACACTAGTGGCTTTATAATGTTGGGTAAGCTCATTGACTTTGGAATGTTCTCCCCAATGTTCTAGAACTTGAATTGGTGGGGCGAATTGTTCATTTATAGATTTGTATTGGATCGTTAGATCAATTATTTGGATCAGGTCTAGATCGGTCAGAATTAGTGATTCAAAAAAATTTAAAATAAATAAAATAAAATAAAAACTAAAATAAGGGATTATGGAGTAGGGATTTTAAAAAAAACCTAAAAAAATATCAGTTAAGTTTG